TATACTGTGTAAATGTATTGTTTGGATGGAGTGCAAACAGCATAACTGAATTGAATTTTTGCTTCATGTCTAAATCTTAATGTTTTGATAACAATGAAATATGAGCATGCAGTTTATTAGGTATGAGTGAACGTTGTAATGTTTAAATAAAACCCTTTTCTTTCAGAATCACCCTTTGGCATTCGAAAGAATAACAAAAAAATATTTAAATAAAGATAAAACTGACATGTTATAAATTTAATAACAGGTCAAAAAGGGCATTTCTTTTGCATTAATTAGCAAAAAGTTAGCTTAAGATTACTTCATTAAATTAAAATTCATGATAGGGTAGTCCATCATAGAAGCCTTGCGGCATATGATTAAAATATCATTAACGCTTCAATATGATCATCCATTAGCCAAATCACGGGTACAGCTTTAATCCAAGATGCAAAATGCAAGTCGATGGGGTTTTAATAGGAACAGAGGAACACTCTTCAGATGACAAAACCAGAAAAATGAACAAAAGAAACTCTGGAATTAAATACAAATGTAGAATACAAGCAAGCACAGGTTATGAAAAAAAAAAAAAAAAAGTTAACCAATAAGTAACTTGCTGAAGTAGCTAGTTGGAAAATAGAAAGTAATCTAGGCCAGTGGTTCCCAACAGGGGGGGTCCTGGCCTGCAAGGGGGCTTAGCGAGCACAATAGGGGTTGCGTCATATTTTTAAAAGTTTTTAGCATTGGACAATTAGGAGAACGATCATGTTGTCTTAGTTCATTTTATCCCTGGCTGACCAAAAAAAATAGACAAATTTGTAATTCGTCCTCCACAAAAACCGCAAAGTCTCATCGATTCACCTTCAGCAGCTAATACTAATAACCCAAGCATACTGGACAAAGGTGAGGAAGCTCTAAACAATTTAGATCGCAGCGCTAGCAATACTGAAAACTCTAAATGCAGGAAATACCAAGATAGTTACCTGATCTATGGTTTTATTCTATTTTCTCGAAGCAAAAAGTCCCTGACCCAGCCACAGTGTATTATCTGCATCAAAGTTCTAGCTATTGAATGCGTGAGGCGTCCAAATTAATGACATTTGCAGACGACTTATCCCCAATACCGCAACAAGTACAGTGCATTTTCTAAGCGCAAGGAAAAGTAATTGGCACACACCCGAAATGTCACAGCTTCTGACAAGAAACTTTAAAAAATTTGTCAACTATGCCTAGTTCAGACTGCGTGATTTTAGCCCCGATTTTGGCTCGCCGACAGGTTTTGAGATATCGCCGACAAATGCCTGAAATCACAGGCAAATCGCTGCTCGTGCACGTGAGTGACAATCACACAGTATGAACGACGCAAAGACGCGATCTGAGAGAATCGCCGATGAGTCGCCGATGCCTGTGAGATATTTGGCGTGCTAAATATCTGGAGCTGTCGGCAATTCAAATCATGCCATGTGAATTGAGTTTTGACTGAAAATAACATCAGCCATCGCCTACAGCCAATGAGAGAGCAGCTTTCACTTGTGTGTGCGTGTGTGTATACCTGCTGCAGGCCAGCGGGAGGCTGGGGGAGAAGTTAAAAGCGCTCTTTTTCGGTTTATTTGGACCCACGAAATGGAGGAAAAACTAGTGGAGGTTTGACAGGACTCAGGAGCAACTGTGTCTGTTTGACGTTTCATACAGAAAGAAATTAGTTTATTATCAACTTAAGTTGAGGAGAAATGGCTAATTACCTTTAAACCCAGGTGAGCAAACATGTACATGTTCTACCCCATTAAAGGCTTCTTTCTCATTATGTAGTTAATAACAAAAGATAAACTACATGTTTTTGGCTGTGAGATGTAGTTTGGACGAAGTTGTCGGCGATTCTCCCTATAGTAAAGTCATGCAATGTGAATGTACATGTTGCCGAACCATCTTGCAGTGTAAACAAAGCAGCGAAGAAACGCTAGCCCAGATAGTCAAGCAGTGTGAAAACATCTGTGACACGACTACTTTTAAAATTATGCAGTCTGAACTCGGCATAATTGGCAACTAACATATGGCCAATTTAAAGGCCAAAGGCTTACGTTTTTTATTTACAGATGGCCTACTGATGTTTTGCTTTTATATTTTACATTTTGCACATACTATTTCTGCATAAACATATCTAGATATAGTCATAAACATACCGTTTGTTTGAAAACAATTTTTTTTTGTCATTCTTACTGCAAACTATTATGAGCAATATTATCAATAAATGTTGAGGAGGGTCTTACAATATTTTCCGGCAGAAAAGGGGGTCTCAGCCAAAAACAAAAGGTTGGGAACCACTGATCTAGGCCAAACTAAATCACATAGCAACATATAAAATAACTACAGCAATAAAAATATAACATCTTTTTTTATACATAACTTTTGAATGATATTTTTAAAAGTCAAAGTGTAATTTGGACTTTATATATTCTTATGCAAAAGTTTGGCCAATCCTGATCATTTCATAATTGCAAGCCATAGGCTGCTGGCCTTTTAAATCAACAATTTCGTTTGGATAAATTTTATACCCTGGGGAAAAAGCAACATTTCAGTTCTGCACATTTATAACATTTATTTAATCAACAGATGCAATGCAATTTAAGTCATAACAAAAACAGGCAGGTGCAAAAATTTGAGCACTCCAAGAGAATGACAGCAATCTTTTGTAGAGCCACCTTTTGCTGAAATAGCAGCCTGTAGATGCTTTTTATAGTCTAGGATAAGTCCCTTAATTCTTGCTGAAGTCATTTTGGACTATTCTTCCTTGTCTCCAGTTCAGTCAGGTTTGATAGGTGCCAAGCTCTGGGGACTGGGATGGCCATTCCAGATCATTGTATTGTGTCTGAGCATGAATTACTTGGTAGATCTGGAACTGTGCATTGAGTCATAGTCCTGCTGAAGCCTCCAACCCTGCCATACGATCAACCTCTTGACTGATTTCTGAACATTATTCTTCTTAATCTGCTGATACTGGGTGGAATCCATGCGACCATTAATTCTGAAAAGGTTTCCAGTACCTGTGCTTGCCACACATTCACATAGCATGATAGACCCTCTACCATATTTTATAGTAAGAAGCAGGTTCTTCTCTTGTGCCTATGGTTGTGGCATCACTGTATATTTTTCCAAAATGATTCAGGCTAGTCCGGATGAGCCTTTGAGCCACCTCAAACAACTCTTCTTGTTGGCAGAATGCAGAAAAGGCTTTTTCTACAACACCTTCCATAGAGCTGTTCTTTTAGAAGAGTGCGCTGGACTGTGGAACGATGTACAATGACATTATATCAGCAGCAAGATGTTCCTGGAGCTCTTTGAAAGTGGTCTGTGACCATCCTAACCATTCTTCGCCTTTGCCTTTCTTATATTTTTCTTGGTCTAGCACATCTTTCCTTCACAAGAACTGTTCCTGTGGCCTTCCATTTTCTTACTATATTTCTGACTGTGGAGATAGAGACTTTAAACCTTTGTAATAGCTTTTTGCATCCTTCTCCTAAGTCATGTTCATGAATTATCCTAGTTTTTAGGTCATTAGGAAGAACTTTTGAGGTTACCAAGTTGACTACCTTCAAGTTCACAATAAGGAGAAGCACAACTAGCAATCAGCTATCTTAAATATCCTTTTTCATGATTGGTTGCACCTGTGTAGGGATTGATAAGGTTCACTAAAGCTGCAGTCACATTAGAGTTTGAGCATGCAATATTCTGTTGTGCGGCGCTGCGAAAAGGGGCGGGATAAAATTATTAGACATTTAAAAAAGCGAGCGATTGCTCTATGTTTTAAATTTCTGTTCAGAGAGGACATGTTTTGATCCTTGATTGGTCTCACGCAGTCAAGTGATGCGATTTCGCAGGTCATAGTTCACCAAGCTTGAACTTTGCACCGCAGCAACCTGCGAAATTTGACACATGACCCAGCGTTTCCGGTCTGACGCATTCGTGTGCGTATGAATGGAAGCCTATGGGAGGAAAAGCTCAGTGTGACCGCAGCTTTAGTCACTCAAATCAATTGTGTTGTAGTCAATTAGCATTAAGTGTGACTGCAGGTTTTGAAATCCACACGAAAGAGTGTGTCCAAACTTTTCATATTTTCACATTTCATATTCGCCTATTTTTCAGTTTCAATTTAATTTCACACATCTCAATACTGACACTAGGGGTGTCAAAATGAATCATTTCTTCGGTGCACCATGATGCAGACGCGGACAATTCGGTATCGGTTCAGTAATAATCATAACCGGTTATTACTGACGTCATTTACCTCATATGCGGTCTGTCGCAACGGAGGCGATCGCGAGTATTTCAACGCTCCAACTACTTAAAACTCATAAACTGTGCACAATTTCAATGTATGTGTTTGCTGGATCAGTCTTTCACTGACATATACAACTAAAGCCCCTATTTCACTGAGATCGAGAGAATGAAAGTACTCCATTTCTCTCTCTCTCTCTCTCTCTCTCTCTCTCTCTCACACACACACACACACACACACACACACACAGTGGCCCATTTGACCTGCTGCCGTGGCTTTTCTTCTCCTCTCGGCTGTTTTACAGCGTTACTTTTGGATAAAGAAACGAGCGAGTGTCTGCAGAGTTTTCTCCACCGTGTCTATCATACATCAGCTGTGAGATCGCCGCTGCCACCGGCCGCTTATCAGTGTCACTCATCTGTGAAGAGCGCAGCACGCAAGAGCCAATCGCAACCGTTTTTGTTGAGGGTGTGACCAATCAAAGAGGTGTAAGAGAACTAAACAAGGATCAGAAATTGAGCTGGATATTTATATTTGTTTATATGTTTTGGTTAATGCTCGATTTGTTTAGTTACAGTTTATATACATGACTGCTTGTATTAAATGACAAAATTGTATTACAAATAGTATATAAATATAAATATATTCATACATTTTAATACAAAAACCGCTGCTGTGAAGAAAATGTAAAACTGTGTATGAAAAGCAACGTCAATGCACCATGATGCACCGAAATATTGAATTGAACCGAATCGAAGGCATGATAATCGTAACCGAACCGAACCGTGAGACTAGTGTAGGTTCACAGCTCTAACTGACAACCTACATATTTCTGTCTGAAAAACTTGACATTATGTAGCTTTCTCTAGAAACCGAATGGCATTTCACTGTGATCTTCTCATAAAGAAAGAGCACATAATTATGCAGCCACAGAGGGGTGGCCAAATCTTTGCACGAAACTGTATACAAGTACTACTATTTATTTTTCAGTTGTTATTTTTACTTATTTCATCTGAATCATGTTTATTATATGAGATGCATAAACCTGCATCTCACATAATAAAGTAGCATCATAATAAAGGAATCACATTGTTTTCTCACAGATCCATTTATTCGCTTCATGACATCGATGATCAATCCACCCGTGTGCATCAGTTAGTACACAGTTCTCTTTTCTGTTTCCATTAGGTTCTCGAGACCTCCAATACCTGAAACTAGATCAACAACAGTTTTAATAGAGTGATCTATGTGATGATACTACTGCAGTGAGGATCATATATTAAATAATGAGTTAAATACAGTGGTTTCTCACCCAGAGGTCTGTTTGCTGCCATCAACCCATTTCCATGTGCCCTCTTCCTCAATATCAGTCAGACCAATCCAAACCAAAACATCACCACAAATCATGTTAACCATCTCCTATTGGAATGAGTCAGACATGTGCATATTGAAATAAAAATGAGAACAATTAGATTATTGATGTTTTTCTTCCTCTGAAATAATGGGATGGTCATGTCATGCTAGCAGAACAGTGTTTCAGGAAATAAACTTTGACATAAAATGTCAATGTAAAAGGTTACACCACAAAAAAAAAAAAAAAAATAGTAGGAAGTGTAGAGGTCCTTGCTTTGAATGGCGTCATCCTATTTGGGACCAATGGACACCAGTCTCTTGCCTCTTCGAAAATATCACTAGTCATTCTCAGCATAACACTAACATCTCAGAATAAATCACTACATCGCTGCTTTTCACTGATAAAGCTGAATAATTAAATGGGCACTCTGAAGTCAGATATAAATATGACTGGATATCTCTGAAAAATCTTCAGTCTCTTCCACAATTTACTGACTGTATGAGTTTCTTAGCGATAACTTTGTTGCCAATGATTTTTCAGAGATTTTCAATCAGGTTAGGATCAAGACTCCGGGATGCCCATTCCATTATTCACAATGGTAGTGCTGAATAATTATCATTATTCACAATGTTTTGAAACATGGCGTACAAATAAGAAGAGTAAAATAGGTTTTTACACATATTAACAATATATAAAAAGTTAGTGAAAGGAACACTGATAAAGCAGAATTATGAAATGGGCACCCTGTAGTCTGATCTAAATCTGACTGAAAATCTCTGAAAAAAATCATCAGTCTATTCCACAGTATACCGACTGTATGAGTTTCTTAGCCATAACTTTGTTGGCAATGACTTTTTAGAGATTTTCAATCAGGTTTAGTTCAGGACTCATTTCATTATTCTGCTTTACCAGTGTTTAAGGATAAGACAGGAGGCTAATTTTCCTGCATGAGCTTCTGATAAACATTTGGCATCGACTCTGAAAACATCCCCAAAACCATGAAACTTCACCCCACCTTTCACTTACTTTTATAAATTGTTAAATATGTGTAAAACTGTTATTTTACTCTTTGCTCTCAACACTATTTTACTCTCAACACTCCATGTTTCTGAAAACATTGTGCAATTCTAAGTGTGATTCATGCAGATGAGTGAGCTTGACAATCATCCTGTAGGTGACACACTCTCCTCTCTGTATGCACCAGATACTTTCTTATGGTCATATTGTTTATGGAAAACATCTTGTAATTTCTTAGTGTGCTTCACACAGGTGAGTGGGCTTGACAAACCACCTAGCTGAGCCACACTCTTTTTTTTCCCAAATGCACCAGACACCTTCATAATAGCACCCGTTACCTCCTGAGAACATTGTGCAATTCTGAGTGAGCTTGACTAACTACCTGTAGGTGGCACACTCCTTTCCTCTCCAGATGTTCAGGCACCTTAAAAGCACCTGATACTTCTTGAAAATATTGTGCAATTCTGTAGTGAGTATGCTCCATACAGGTGAGTGGGCTTGACAAGTCACCTACAGTACATACTCTCTCCTATTCATATGCTCACAGGAACAAAAATAAATAATATATATACACACATATATATATATATATATATATATATATATATATATATATATATATATATATATATATATATATATATATATATATATATATATATACATATACACACATATGTGTGTGTGTTTACATATATATATATATATATATATATATACCGCAACTCTGGTCATTTCAAGTGCTTCTTTTATCCTCACTTGTAAACAGCTTGAGATAAAAGTGTCTGCTAAATGAGTACATGCATGCACTCATGTTAGGATCAAATCAAATATAACTAAGCAGTGAGCCCAACATTTAGGAAATTGTTAGTTGTTCTGTAATTTTGATCCCCATTTTATTGTTTTAAATCTTATTGATTCCTGAACAAATTTAAATAAGACATAATAATCCATAACAAACTTTAACATCCCCTCTCAGATAGATCCCTTTTTCTAAATATATGATCACTCACTTGCTCCTTTCCGTTGTTTATAATCACCAGATCTGCTCCTCTGGCTATACAGTCTTTTCTGCTCTCCTCCCAGCTCTTTGTCAACGAGGAAAGGAAGTAAAGACTGGACTGAAAGTAAACCCATCCATCTGTAGACACAGATTTTCACTATGAGCACTGAAATTATATCTCAACATTGGCAGCAATAAAAAACAAAGAAATTTAGCACTCTCCATTCTGTTTGCAGAATACCATATAGAAATAGTATGTCCTAATTTAAAAGTCAGAAATAATGCAGGTTGGCAAGCTGAGTGTAAGATTAATTCAGCCCTCCTGGATAGAAGCAATATAGAACCAAAAGAAGCCAGACAAGGTCAACCTAAATGAAAAGATTCTAGATGGGGGGACTCAAATGCAGAGTGAGTTAAGAGATTTTATTGACAGACAAGGAGAAACAGGAGTAACAAACATACAACAGTTGATGATGGTGAGTAGTGCTGGAGAGCCCTGGATACTAGCAGATATGTGGCGGATAGAGGCCAAAGATGGTAAAAGGCTGGGAAACTGTGGAAGAAGAAACCGGGCCAGGCAGAAGGCAGTGGAGGCTTGTCCAGAGAGGATGGCCAATTCAGAACCAGTCCAGCAGTCAGACAGAGGAAACCAGCAGCCAGGGACTGGCAGGACAGGACAGGACCAGGGAACATAAGAGACAAGACACAAGACAAACATAATACCTAATGCAGACTACAGGATTTTACGCTTGATTTAAGTTCAGATTGCAAGTTAACAAGCTCACCGACAGATTGTGGTAAAATCAGCAGGTGATCCGTGCTCAGCAGTCTTTGTATGAAATACTGAACGATGAATCAAAGAGTCTTGCTCGCGCTTTGCCAACACCTTGCAGATGAAAATCCAATATATAGCAAGCTAAATGTTCTAGAATTTTCAGCCAACTTGATCCAACAACGTGCCAATGAGAGAACAAGTCATGGGTTGACTGGTTAGTGTGTTCACATGCTCAACAGAATTGGCCAGAATGGTCATCAATGCACTCACTTCACTCAGCATTTAAATGGGCTGTGGTCCAATTCAATTGTACACATGCACTCACGAACTTCTCTTGATACCAGTTCAACAAGTGATCGAGGGAAGCTTCCATGAACATACAGTACCCTTGATCCCCTGATTTTGACTGATGGAGCGAATTGGCTTCATATGTCCACTCCAGCACCTATGTCCTAGAATGCAATGTGATAGTGATGTCCCAACAGTGCCCAAGGATTTAGGGCATTCCATTTAAACTCATTGGGATGTTCCATCAGTAGTGGACACATGCGTAATGTAATCAATAACGTACATCTGAGGGAATGAGATGGAAGGAAGGTCACAAGTGAAGGCCAACTTGGACTGGAACGACACGAGAGCATATGAAAACCAGATATATCAGCTGAAGTGTGCAGATATATGAGCGATCAATCTGCTGACAGATCAGCTGATTGAAGATGCTTTCAAACACTCTCTTGAATGCTTTCAGAGTGATTTTAATAGCTTCGTGTTAGTGACGTTGTAACTAAACAAGAAATTACTAGTGTTCTGCTCTTTCTGAAGGGTCCAGCCTAAACATTATATTCGCTGGGGCTTGGAGGCTGGGCAAAGTTGTTGAGTGACTTGAGTTGTTGTCATATTGTACAGAGTGTGACCCCCTATTACGAATCATTTCTGTTGCATAGTGTGACACAAAATCATGTCGTAGTCAGAATGGTACAGCAATCTGCCGTTGTTTGAAGTCATGTAGTGAGAATTAGACTTTAGACAAACAAAGACAGACTAGGGAGAGAAAACTAAAAGCAAACAGTAAACTAATTAAATTAACCTAAAAATTCTTAAATATTCTAAAATGGTAGAAGATAATGTGTAAATTAACACCAAATCAAAAGGCAAGAATTACTTCAAAATTGTACTGAAAATAAAAGTACAGAAGGAAAAGCCAAAAGGTACTTCTATAAAGAAACAACTAAATGAAAACAACTTAGAAAAGGAATGTGATAGCAAACTAAGAACTCTTGCTAAAAATATTATTGACATCCAGATACAAAATGACTTGCGTAGCAAAGTCATGAGGGAAGAGAGCAAAATATAAAAGGGGGAAAGCACACAAGGACCAGGTGAAGACAGTTATGCAACGTAGTTGGAAACAAGGTGGAAGGAAGGAAACACATATCAAAAAAAAGACTCATGGATAGACACAAGACAAACAATTAAATTCATGAAATATTGACAACACAGAAAAAACACAGCACAGACATGCCAGAACATGACACCAACAGAGGAATAAATGGGCGTTTATGAGAATGTCGGAAAATGAAGCCAAACCAGGACTGTAAAATTGGACACAATTACAAAGAAACAATGGTGCCGTGTGTACTGTATATTCTTTGGCACTGATATATTTAAGGCACTGATATATTCACTGCAAAGCTTTTTATCAGACTTCATTCTTTGCTTAGGGTTTATATTCAATAGATAGTTGATTAATTGTTCTAATAATTGTTATATTATGGATTATCAAAACAACTACAGTATAAATAAATGTTCAGAAAATGGGATCTTGACATCAAAATACAAATGCCTTGTGGGATTGTAATGCTGCGTTCACACCAGATGCGGATGAAGAGTGATTCACATGTTAAGTCAATGCAAAGACAGAAATAAACATCCTGCGGAGCTATTTGCAAAAATTGAGCATTTTGCACGTTTGACGCAGATCGCTCGAGCTGGAAAATCTGAACTTCATCTGACTTTTGTGTCGCGTTAACAAATCAGGAGCTTGCTTTAGTAGGGGCGTAATTATGACGTAGTGCCTGTTGTTGGTGTCCTGAGGGAAAGTATTCTTGTAGACACCGAACAACAGTTAATCAAACTGGGCTGGGCTCAGTCTGAAGCACTGCTGAAAGCTTCCATCATCCAGGAACAGTTTCTGGAGGAGTTGATGAACTCACAGAGCTGGGTGCACCTCTGAAAGGATCTAGTGGACTTAGACACGGTGCCGAACGAATATACGCTGTTTTTCAGAATTCCTTAAGCACATAAACACAGCTATTATCTTAATAAAATCCATGTTAGCCATTTAGCAAGAAAGCTAAAGTTATGACACAAATCATAAGGCAGGTTGGATTTTATGTCACAAGATTAATATAAACACAGCTCACTCTTGTAATTCAGCTCACTCTTGTAATTTGCTTAAACCGTTCCTAAATTTATTAACAATTATTTTAGATTCAAGTGGTATTTGCAGGGAAATGAATGCAAGCCAAGAACAGCTGTTTGTAAGGCATACGCCCTACTGAAAAAACCATCTTAAACCAGCCTAGGCTGGTTCAAGCTGGATTTTTCAGCAGGGCGGTGTCATCCGCTCTTTAAAAAACTAAGCTCAAAATCAATTCAAAAGAGAATAGATATGCATTTTTTGAGAATCGATGCAGAATCAAATTTTTAGATGATTTTTAGTACAGCTCTAATAATGAAATCTGTTAATATTTCGGCTTTTTAGATTTGAAGCTAATCACAAATGCATCTATTTTCAATAAAACAAGTGTAAATGCCCTATGTGTATTTAATACAAAAATTTTTATGATTAGTGTGAGATGCAAGAATTTAAATAAATATTCTCATTTAGACTCAATATGACATTAATGCAGTTTTTTTTTATATACAGCCTTAGTATCCCAGTACTTAATACGGAGGTGCAAGTATTTGCCAGTTTTACCACTAAGTATAAAAAGCATCACTTTTTGCAAAAGAAGGTAATATAATATAGAATATGGTGCATATAGAATGATGTGGAAATGGAATACATCTCTATTTGTTCTGAGTGCAGATACATTAGCTGCTTCCTTAAATGTCAGTTTCATTTCAAGCCTATTCAATACCCTGTGGTCAGTTTCTTTTTCCTCTGTGGTGATTTCTATTTATTGTCAATGTGTGCTCCTGAGCATGTTTTTCATATTGGTGGTCATGGATTCCTAATCTCTGTTTTTAACAATTTGCATCTAATAATTTATAATACACTGTGAAAAAAACAGTTCATAGTTACCCATGTTTGACAGCTCAGTTTTCTCCTTAGTTAGCTGATCTCTTTGTTCAATCAGGTCAGAGATATTTGAGGATAATTCTTCTCTCTCCTTTGTCAATCGAATGTTTTCAGAAAAAAGCCGGTCCCTCTCTTTAGTGAGGTCGGTGTTGTTGGCTATTAGCTCTTCTGTTTCTTTTTTCAATTGAATGCTCTTGGACCCTATCTCATCCCGCTCTTTAATGACATTGCTGTTGTTGTGTAGTAGTTCTTCTCTCTCTTTTGTCAAGCTAAATCTCTCAGATAGTAGCTGGTCCCTCTCCCTAGTTACTTTGGTGTTGTTGTCTAGTAGTTCTTCTCTCTCTTTTGACAATCGAATGCTCTCTGATAGTAGCCAATCCCTCTCTTTAATGACATTGGAGTTGTTGGCTAGTACTTCTTCTCTCTCTCTTGTCAATCGAGTACTCTCGGACAGTAGCAAATCCCTTTCTTTAGTGACCTTGGTGTTGTTGGCTAGTAATTCTTCTCTCTCTTTTGACGATTGAATACTCTCGGACAGTAGCCAATCCCTCTCTCTAGTGACCTTGGTGCTGTTGGCTAGTAGTTCTTCTCTTTCTCTTGTCAAACGAATACTCTCGGACAGTAGCCGATCCCTCTCTTTAGTGACCTTGGTTTTGTTGGCGAGTAGTTCTTCTCTCTCTTTAGACAATCGAATGCTCTCTGACAGAATTTCGTCCCTCTCTTTAGTAAGGTCGGTGATATTGGCTAGTAGCTTTTCTTTCTCTTTTGTCACTCGAACGCTCTCAGACAGTAGTCGATCACTCTTCTTAGAAAGGTTAGTAATGTTGGCTAGTAGTTCTTCTCTCTCTTTTGCCAATCGAGTACTCTCTGACAGTACCTGATCTCTTTCTATAGTAAGGTTAGTGATGTTAGCTAGTATCTCTTCCCTCTGTTCAGTCAACTGATTGCTCTCAGACAGTATCCGATCCCTTTCTTTAGTAAGATTTGTGATGTTGGCTAGTATCTCTTCTCTCCTGTTTGTCAATCGAATGCTTTCTGACAGTAGCCGGTCCCTTTCTTTAGTGACCTCTGTGATGTTTGCTAGTAGCTCTTCCCGTTCTTTTGTCAATCGAATGCTCTCAAACAGTAGCTGATCCCTTTCTTTAGTGACCTTGGTAACGTTGGCTAGTAGTTCTTCTCTCTCTTTTGTAATTCGAATGCTCTTGGACTCTAGCTGGTCCCTCTCAATAGTAAGGTTGGCTAGCAGCTCTTGCCTCTCTTTGGTCTCGTTTGTGCTGTTTGTATTGATGTGGGAGTACAGCACTAAGACTGCAGTCAGTAGAAAAACACACATCAGCACCAAACACACTGTAGCTACTCTGTAGTTTCTGATCCACACATAATCACTTCCTGTAGATGAAGATATGGAAATTAATAAGCCACGTATGAATGTTTAAATGAGAAATTGAGTCTTTGGTACGTGAAAGTTAAAGGGATAGGTGTCTTTCAGTACCTGAATGTTGAAGGGTTTGCTGTTTCTTGGTGTTCTCGGTTTCTCTGCTGACATCCAGAATGTTTATAAGATCTGAATTAGAATAGATATTCATCTCTACATCTTCTCGGTCCATTTCATGCTTTTCAAGAGAGTTTGCATTGCCAAAACAAGACATATTCAACCTGCTGGTGTTCAGTGTGTGTTTATTTGAGGTTGATACTTTAAGTGGACTGTATCACTCAAAACTTCTCCTTTTGATCAAAGTGATGAAAACCATGTGATATCCTGTTAAAAGCACTTGTTCTTCCTTAATTTACTTTATGGATGAATCATATCCCCCTTACCCCCCACCTCCCCTAACATCCAATTGAAATAATACATAAACATGGACTGACACAAGCAGTTTGAGCTCATAAAAGCTTCCAACATGGCTCGTTTAAACAATTCTGCAATGAAAAATAGACGGAAATTCCACACAACTCATTATTAAGTGTTGGGCCAATTACTTTTTCACATAAAGCCACAAAGGTTCAGTCAGCTTTATTTCCCTTAATAACTGAAATCACAAAAAATGCATTAATAATACAAAACTGAGAGGGGGGCAAATACTTTTTGACAGCACTATAAAATTACTGCACAAAAGAAATGGCACATCTATGATTTATTTGTGCCACATTCCACCCACTCCTCTTGTAACTTCTGTTTTTAAATTGTCATGAAATGCCTGATTCAGCACTTTTTCATACCTCTGATATAAAAGGGGTTCTGAAACAGTTGTTGTCAGCTGTAATAAGATGGGGGGGTTGAGTGTTTAATAGAGGGAAGCAATTGCAAAAAAAGGGAAGCTCCATTAAAAGCATAAAGAGCTTATTTGCACAATGGAAATACACTCTCTGCTGAGATGGAGAGCAATGCCTAGAGCAGCAGCCACAGTGGTTCTGAGTTACACATGCAGCCAATTTGTGAAGACTGTACATTCAACACTGTAAATGTTATTTTTATAAAAGAGTTAGATCTGCAAATATCTGGAGTCCGATAGTCTCAAATTTTAAAGCTCTCTGGCAGGAAATCTTCAATACAAATTTTCAAATGTAGGTCTTAGTCGGCCATACCAAACCAACCGGTTAAATAGACTTCATCTTTTGACTCTGTTGCTTAAATTAATTTTGCATCAAAAAAGGCAGTTTGATATTGGTAAAGGTGTCTGCAACCTTTGCGAAGAATCAAATCACTGGCATATTACCAGTCAAAACGTGTGCATGACTGCATAAATGAACCTTTAAAAAAAATAAAATGGGCAAATTATCATACACAAAGTGTACTAAAGCTGGGTTAGTACCTTAATCGTATGCGTTTGTATCTAAAAAGTCTATATTACTTAATGTTCTCCTTGGCAAGAGAATCACAGTTTTGTACAGTGTTAAAACTTCTATTTATATATAAATTGACATAATTTTTTACTATTTTGCCCAGTGTTATCTAAAGGTTATTACTGTAAGAAAAATGTGTGCATTCGGTACATACAGTTGAAGTCAGAATTATTAGACCCCCTTTGATTTTTTCCTCTTTTAAATATTTCCCAAATGATGTTTAACACAGCAAGGACATTTTCACAGTAAGTCTGATAATATGTTTTCTTCTGGAGAAAGTCTTGTTTGTTTTATTTCGGCTAGAATAAAAGCAGTTTGTAATTAAAAAAAAAACAAAAACATTTTAGGGTTAAAATTATTAGCCCCTTTAAGCTATATTTTTTTCTACAGAACAAACCATGGTTATTCAATAACATGCCTAATTACCCTAACCTGCCTAGTTAAACTAATTAACCTAGTTAAGCCTTTAAATGTCACTTTAAGCTGTATAGAAGTGTCTTGAAAAATATCTAGTCAAATATTATTTACTGTCAACATGGCAAAGATAAAATAGATCAGTTATTAGAAATGAGTTATTGAAACTATTACGTTTAGAAATGTGTCGAAAAAAAAATGTCTCCGTTAAACAGAAATTGGGGAAAAAATAAACAAGGGCTAATAATTCTGACTTCAACTCTACTTTTAGTACAACTTTTGCTTGAAAAGACCCGATCTGATCCTGTTTATATGAAATAAGACTGATTCTGAGCAGGTTTGAGCTACCGGACCCGTTGCTATGACAACAACTATTGGATGAGTCTTAAAGAACGAAACGATCCTGAACTGTGTCGAATTGTCAATAACCAAATCCAGCTAATTGAGTAATCCACGTACGGTGAGTGGACCCCTGCAGTCATGTGAGGTGTTTATTTAATATGTAAGCACTTTATTGGATTTGTTTTGCACTGTTGCAGGAAAATTCCACCCATTGAAAGAGACAAGAATAACTGCGAATGGATTCAACTGGAAAAAGAAAGTCATATAAACAAAGGATTCCTTGAGGCTGAGTAAACCACGGGCTAATTTTTATTAGCCTTTGAGGCACGTTAAATTCCAGGATTTCACTTTTATTGGTTTCAAAGTGCTCTGCAAATATTTAGTTCGCGCTCTGCCATGACAAGGTCAAACGTAAGTGTGGAAAGGGCTATTTGGCAGACTGTTTCTCAATCTGTGTCTCCTCTCATGAGAGGATGTTTAGGCCAATCACAGATTTTGCAAAGCCATTGAAAGTTAAATGATGCAAAAGAGTCTTATCAAATTCCTGTGAAAGCGAGCAGCCGATCAGCTTTAATCTCTTTTGGGAAGGTTTTGGAAATCCTTTTAAGTCGTCTTTCTCTTCTTTTTTTCTCCTTGACGGAATGAAGGTGAGAGGACCTGATGTGCTCGGGGACCGGTGGACCATGCCAGGATCTCAAGGTGTTTTTTGTGTTTAATTTCCTGCCTGAAATCAATGACACGTTCCACGCATAAACATTCCGCTGAAAAGAGCGAGATTACATCTGCTCATTTTCAGCCATTTCTGTAATTCGCAATTATGCCATGTCATTCCAAATGTCTGAGTTTAATTTGAATGCTTTTGTAGAGGTGTCCGCATTGTTTTTATTGTCTGGATCATTTATAAGACAGCAGATGTGGACAGCACACACATACAAATACACTCTGTTCTATATTATTGTGCTGAATGTCAGAGTTCAAATAAATACTAAATTATTCATTTAAATTTCACAAACGTGTAGAATAGGCATCTCGGCTGTATGAAACCCTCATATTAGCTATTTAAATTCTCATCTAGATTAGTTGAAGGTATTAATTCTAAATTTGTTGTGCCATTTTCTGTGGTCTTATTCATTTCGAATGCCTTAGTAGATTTAACGATTTTCATATGTTGTTCCCATGTTATAGTTCAGCTGTTGTGCAACGTTATATCATAAAGCTCAACACAATCTCACGGCAATTCGTAACTTTTTCATTAAGTGGCTAATTCGTATGAATTCGTACGATCTAATTCGTACAATTTAGTACGATTTGCTTATCCCCCAATGACGGTTGGGGTTAGGGGTGGGGTCAGGTGCCACGCCTCCTTTTTAAAATCGTACCATTTTCGTACGACTGAACTCGTAATTCGTACGAATTAGCCACTAAACTGGCAAAACATAAAATACTTACGTTTTCTCGTGAAATCAGGCTGTAAAGTTAGATAGTGAAGCATTTTTCCAAAAGTCACCTTTCAGATTATGCAAATGAGTTAGGAATATTTAATTACTGTTATTTATTTGTTTGTTTGTTTTAAGCATTCATTTCGGCATTCATATGATCAAAGGCTGCATTTATTACACCCAAAAATAGAGGTCTAATGGAGCACGGTTTAACGGAGCACGGTTGGAGCACGACCTTAGAAAGCATCATCCAAGTCTCATGTATGAAAGCATTTAGGCTTTTCTATAAAATATAATGATGATGAAAGAAGTTGTGGTGGGTTAATCGGGACGTGGTGGGTTTCTTAGGTTAATAAGGTGTTTTCTGTCACTACTTGTTCAGTCTGCATTTAGTGTAAGCTACATAATTAATCATTAAAAGATCAGGATCTCAACACCCACGCAACAAATTATGAATGATGGTGATTTGCATATGTTTATTAATCCTTCGAATTGCTGCTTTCCAATCTGTGTTTGAATAACGCAAAAATCAAGAAAGCGATTCAGGTACTGGGATAACAGTTTATAGTTTAGATATAACCACTGTTGTTTGGTAAAGATTAAAATCACCATCATGTGAATTTAAGGTTGCTTTCACATCTGTAGTTCGCTTCATTTGGTCTGGACCAAGGGCAATAAATGATACATTGTAGCATTGTCTGCCATCTTTGGGTCGTTTTCACACCGCACTGATTGCTTTGGTCCGAACCAGTTTGAACTAAAATGCAATCATCTGACAAAACCCACATCACTTATTGGCCAGATGTTATTGAACGTATTTCCTAAACTACTTATCGAATCGTCAGAATTCACGTGCGGGAAAATGCCAATGAAACTCCCGCAGGTAAACAAACCGGCAGACACGAAATGTCACTTTTTACTATGGAGGGACAATGTGCTGACTGATTGTATCCCTGCTCATTTACTCTATAGTTTGTATGCATTACTTTAGACAAACAATATATTTTGAGAATAAAGTGCGGCTGCGGCTGGAAAACAATGTTTTAATGCTCCTCCTTAATTAATTCAGCTAAACTTCGACATGGTCATCTTGCGGAAATATTACCAACGACCCATCAGGTAATGTCCCTCTCTCTCTTCTCTCTCTTTCTCTCTCTCTCTCTCAGTAAAGCGCTGTCAACAAATATTTGTCCTCCACATCCCATAATGCACAGCTCATCAGCCAACAGCAGCTGGATTAGTCCAAAAGGTGCAGTATTTTTTGCGGTTGGGTCTGTTTTAGTTCGGATCATATTCTCACCACAAACGAACCGCTCCATGGTGCGTGCTCGAGTGCGCACCAAAAAGCGTACCGAGACCTGAATAAAGAAGTGGTCTCGGTAAACTTTTTGGTCCGCTTTTGGTGCGCACTTGAGAACGATAGCTACATTCACACCTGCCCAAACAAACCGCACCAAGAGGGAAAACGAACTCTAGTGTGATTCAACTGAACTAAACAAGGCAGGTGTGAAAACACCCTAACTTGACACTCAAAAATGAAAGTTGTAGGCAGCAATTACATTATTTACCCAATAGGTGGCGACAACCAGCCATCAAAAAATACGCCACTGAATAATTAATAATATTTAATATGCCACATTTATTTATTTAAAATGAGACTAAAAATAAATATTGGGTTGTACAAATAATAATGTTAGGTATCTATATTTAGTGTTATCAG